GGTTGCCCTCTGCTGCCTCTGACTGCTCGTCTTCCCAGATTTTTAGACGTCACTGCTGTGCTGATCACTGTTCTCCTTACTGGAGAGGAAGCTGTACCTGAGGGCCTGCAATGCAAGATCTCCCCGCTTCTATCATTACCCCACCAGTAATATGGGGGGGTGCAGCTCATGCGGAGACGCAGTGCAGAACAAGGCATGATACAGTCGGCTGCAGAGAGCCATCAGGAAACCCCTACAGGAGTCACCGGCTTGTGGTCTTTCTGGGCACAGCTCCCACACTACATGTCCTCTCTAAGGCGGCATCACACTGTACATCTGGCACCTCGCGGCACAAGTCACCCCGCACTTCCTGACATCATGTAGAAAAGCTGCAATCATGTACCTGACATAAAGTGACCTCTTCTCACTGGTGCGCAACGAGCCAGACCCGGAGCTCATACTGCTGTTCATCATCTGTTCCCTCAAGTCGTGGATTTTCGACTCAAACCGGCTGTACTCTACAAGGGGAGAGAAACGGGATGAACAGAGCAAATATACAAAGCACATCAAATGCATCCGTGCAATGCAGACAAATAACCCCCTCTAGAGGTTGGGTTACCCTCCCCCGTGCCCCATGCAGAGTCAGGTAATGAATAAAAAATTAGGAGAAAGAGTGAAAATCCGCTGTCATCTGCTGAGCGGCATGAACGTAGAGGAAGTCCAGGTCATAAAACAACTGCCGGGAGAATATGAGAGATTCCGTGGCCACACTCGTCCGATGACGAAAATCTGCCCCAGCAATGGGGCTCTTCTAGAATGAATGGGGGGCCAGGAAGTCATGAACACACCCCCTGGGCGGGGTCATCACATGACCACTTACAGTATAAATAATGTAGAGAGGCGCCGAGGTCATAACAGAGGGATGGTGAGAGGGGACACAGGAGGAGGGCGCCCCGAATCATAGGACGTTGTATGGATGTCACCAGCACTCCAAGTATGACAGAATACGTCAAGATTTGTAGTGAATCTTCACTTTAAGCCTGATGAAGGGGACCCTGCGCGGCCCCCAAAGCGCTTGTTTCCACTTTAAGTGACTTCAAAATAAAATAAAGATTCACTACAAATCTTGACGTATTCTGTCATACTTGGAGTGCTGGTGACATCCATACAACATTTTATCTGATACGGCGCCATCCGTAGTCATTACGAGCACCCATTTTTCCACATGGGAAGTCCGGTAAGGTGTGCTACAGGTCCTTGGGCATCCGAATCATAGGACCACGCACAGGTCATCCACCTTCCAGATGTCAGCAAAGCCTCCAACACAAGTTATAACCGAGGAGGTCGGGGCGGGAAAACGAGAGGCCGGCCACAACAACAACAACAACAACAACGGTCTGGCTTCAATTCTCCAAAATTAGAACCACATGGAGGAAATGGTTCCACCGAAATCTGAAGACAGAAAACAAAAACTGCAAGTAGAGAACAAGATACTGCGACATAGGGCCCGCCCTGCCACACCACGGGGCCCGCCAGGACATAGGGCCC